TTTTTTAATACCGTAATGTCTTCTGTTAAAGTTCTGGCTGTCTATTGATTTATTTATCCGAGTCGCTCGCATGAAATGCAATAACACGAAGTGATGCTAACCATCAAGTCCGGCTATACGCAAACAAATGCTTAGATTTAGGCGAAAGGAAAAATGTGCTCAATATATATACAACCTTAAAACAATAAACACGAATACTCAATACATACATGTTTACTTAAGTACACATATGCATTTTTAAATATACATACACACACACACACACACACACACACATATATATATATATATATATATATATATATAATATATATAAATATAAGCACGAATACTAAAACAAAATGTTTACTAAATACACGTATGATTAACTCAGTTTTATTTTATATATATATATATATATATATATATATATATATATATATATATATAATCTTTAAAACAATAAACACAAATATTCAATTTTTATATATAGAATAGATACTTATGTACATGTAAGTTTTTTTAATATATATATATATATATTATATTATATATATATATATATACATCTGTGAGTGTATGTGTATGTGCATGTACATGAGTGTAATATATGAAAATATATCTAAAAAATCTAATCTCTCATATCTTTTTTATATATGTCTTTTCATACTGAAGTTCAAATATGCTCTCTCTCTCGCACACACACACACACACACACACATATATATATATATATATATATATATATATATATATATATATATATATCTTTAAAATATGATGGTCTAATACGTGAAAAAAAATATTCAATAATATCAACTATGAACATGGCCAAATGTTTTGAGCGTGTTTGTAAAATTAAAAAAGATCCTTATGACTTTAAATTTATAGATCAATAAGCCATACATTCATTTAAAAGTCAAATTTAGTATGAAACAGATTATTGCCTCTGGATCTTGACTTCAATATCCACTTTTATACGCTCTATCTTTGATATTTAGCACTTTAACACATAAATATATAATACCGCAAAACTATATTTTATCACACACACAGACACATATACTTACATACATATATATATATATATATATATATATATATATATATATATATATATATATATATGTATGTATGTATGTATGTATGTATGTATGTATGTATAAAAGGCATGAGAGAGGGGCAGATATATACAAGCACAATTATGTGCATATATTTGTATATGTTTATAAGTTTATATATACATTTATAAGTTTATGTGCTTTTGCATGTTTGTCCAGCATATGTCAACACACTGATATACATATATATATATATATATATATATATATATATATATATATATATATATATATATATATATATATATATTGTATATGTACATAGGGACAGATGTATGTATATGAGCATGCACGTTTCTTGGCGTGTCCTCATGAAAGCTACTCTCAGATCTGCATGCCGACTAATGTACGTACACGACTATATATGTTCGTACAGATGTCGACATCGGAGATGAAACAGAAGCCCAACGAAAGTGACTGTTGAACAATGAGTTGTACAGAAATAGTATGATGTACTTAGACAAATGCACACTTTACAGAGATACCGCTTTACGAAGATCCTCTGTAGCCTCTTCAGTATAACACACACATACACACGTGTTTTTGTGTGGAGTGGGCGATGTAAGACATTTGTATATCGTCAATCACGCATCTGAACGCACATAGAAGCGTACAACCAAAGCGTCCCCAAATCAAGCTCGCCATCAAATAGTAACTTAACCGTAACCGACAGATAAAAAAATAGATATAAAGCATAGATGTTCTCGCAATGTTCTAAGTGTTTTATATTATGTCTTTGTACCTTTTTGCGTGTGTGTGAAAGAGAGTGGGATTCTGTCTTGACAACAGAAACTGAGAGAGTGGGTGTTTTCCTGCGACCGTTGGTGCCTGCTTTCTGTGCTTTGACGAGTTGCAAATCAAGAAAAATGACACTCGAATTTTGTGCAGTATGACATTTGACTCGAGAGCCTTAACGTTGACGTTCATGACGACAAAAAGAAAATCTAGTTGTTTTTTTTTTCTTTTCACAAGAATAATATTAAGACAAGTTTTTCTGTTTTTAGTCTATGCCATTCTTAGAAATAGAGTAGCTGATATATAAATGATCTGGTCGAGTATTTAAAGATGAAGAGTGAAACAAAACTATTGAATCACCAGGAGATGTGATAGGACCTGAATATGATCGTCATATACCGTTTGCTCGGCTTTTTATCAGACGGGAAATGACAAATCTGTTCTTCCATTCTCTCTTCCTATTCAAATAAACAGCTTATTATGCAAACGAATCATGTACTAATACACTGACATGCCAAAAATGATAGGATGACAATACGACTTATCTATAAATATTTTCATGGTAATTGTTCTGTTGAGCTTTCTTCTTTGCTACCTAGACTTCATGAATTTAAACGCCATACTATACTGGCAGCAAATGGCATTCATGAGCATTGAGAATGAGTTCAGTCAATATACAAAAATAGAAAGTGGCGTAAGGCAAGGATGTGTCTTCACACGGGATTTATTCAACTTATACAGCGAGGTAATTCTGAGAAAATTGGAGATCCTACCGGGATTAAGCATTGGCGGCCACAATCTTACCAACATATGATACGCAGATGACACGGTACTGATAGCAGTCACGGAAAAGAAACTACAAAACCTCTTACAGAAGGTAGCGAGGGAGAGCGAGAAGAAGGGACTAACTATAATCTACAAGAATACACAATGCATGATCATCAGTAAAAGGATGAAACCGGCGTGCGATTTGCAGGTCGGGAACACTAAAATCAAGCATGTGCTGAACTTTAAATATCAAGGAAGTGGTTTGATGGATGACGCTAGATGCGACGCTGAGATCCGAAGACGGATTGGGATGGCGAAGAATGCATTCCAAAACTTGGGAAGAGTACTGCGGGACATCAGGATTTCTTTGGTGACAAATAAAAGAGTACTGAGTTGCTACATGACATCTGTCTTCCTATACGGCAGCGAATGTTGGACGGTCTCCTCAAAGTCATCTTTGAAGAGACTCGAGGCAGCGGAGATGTGGTTCTAGAAAAGGATGCTAAGGGTATCATGGTGCGAGCGTGTGAGCAACGATGTGGTCTTGGAGAGAGGATGCAAACAAAGAGGAAGCTTATATTTAACATCAGGAAGAAGCAGATGAAATTTCTGGGACACATAATGAGAAAGGAGGGTCTGGAGAATCTGATACTCACAGGTCGAATAGACGGAAAATATTAATAAGTGAAAGCAACGCATGTCATACCTGGCGGGCTTAAGCAAGTAAATGGCAGAACATGGTCTGGGGAAATTGGCAGAGGCACGAAAATTATTGAGAGCTACAATGGATAGGGGGAAGTGGAGATCCATGAACGCCTACGCCCTGAAAGGACACGACACATAAAAAGAAAGAAAGACTAGATTGGGGGTAATGTCTCATCAATTTACCGTTGAAATAGCTAGATGTAACCGTAAGTTCTATGCTAACAGTTTCTTCTATTGCACTTCTCACTTGTTGAACTCTTTTTCCGGCTTATTGCTTTCTAGTCTACTTATTCTTCAAAAATTTAAATGCAATTTAATTCCTGTTCTTTTAATGTTCTCTATCATTTATTTTGTTTTTTTTTTTTCATCCAGCGTTTTAGTGGCTTTCTTATCTTGCTTGAAGTAAGAATGTTTCTTTTTTTTTTAAATAATTGCAAATGTAATGTGAGGAGACGTCACTGTACCTTCAGGTCATGGATATTCCCAGACATATATCAATTAAGCTCGGCATCAGGCTGGTTATGATAAGGCAACGTGATTTATCAGAGTTCGAAGGGGTACGCCAGATGTATAGAACTTAACATTTTTGAAACTGTAGACATATTTCAGACCCCTAGTTTTACGGTTTACTGAGAATACTTGATGGATGGGACCACCACCCACTATAATATTAGAATATATTTTTAGTTTTTATGAGGTTTTTGGAGATAATAACGATTTACTGACACAAGTCCTACTAATTAATCCATAGCTTGTGGGAAGAAATGAATTCATACCATTCTTAATGGTATTTGTGTGTAAGTGACTATAACAAACACGCCTGGAATTCAAAGTCGGATCTCTCTGACTTTCCTATTCTGTATGGATATTTACGGTTTATCGGGAATACTTGATGGGAAGGATTACAGCCCATTTGGATCAGCATAGTGACCGACCACAAGTTCTTCATTATCATGACCACATAAGATCTAGAAGCAGAAAACTGACCAGGATGCCATTGTTAACAGCATGACACCGGAAACCGAACCTTATATGGAGTTGTAACGTCGCCATGTAGAGAAGGGCAAATCGAATTTTCCTAAGTAAAAAATAAAACTTTAAATACTGCTTTATTTTTTGCATAATTTTAAACTAAAAATATGTAAACACACACACACATACACATGGGTTTATTTTTTTTTTTTACGACTTATAAACCTTTCCGGGTTATTTAAAACCTGAATATAATTTTAGTTTGTAAGAACTCTTTGGAGATAATAATGACTTATTGGTGTATGTTCTACTAATTAACCCATAGCTCGGGGTGAAGAAGTGGATTCATACCATTTTTTAATGGTATTTTCGCGTAAGTGTAATATAACGAACAGGACTGGAATTCGAACTCGGTTCTCCGATTCCTAAATCCGAAACGCTATACATTATTCCACTGTACTGCCCTTATTACTTTTTAAATATTTTTCCCAACGTGACGATTATTTTATTTCAGTTTATTCCATTTATACACTTATTTTAGAAGCCGAAAATTCCCCACCTACTTAATTTCCAATTCGGATTCATTACACCACCCGCACATCCAAGCTATAGCACCTGATATTCCTAAGCGGTCCCCCATCTAGGTTCTGACCAGACTCGACGTTCCTTAACTTCGGTGATGATACGAGAACCGGTGTTTCAACATTATATGGCCGCAAGCACACAAATACATATGCGAGAATCTGATAACAAAGTGGTAAAAATTATGTGTAACGCATTTCACCCTCCAGTTCATCCTGACCGGGCACTTCGGCGTGCTATAGCAAGCTTGCCTTTCCACATCAATTACGACTGAATAGTGAGTTCGATCTTCAGTAGTGCCCTTACTTTTGGCCTTGTGCCACATCTAAGCTACGCTTAGAACTCATCCTATCGTCGTCACTATGCCTGAATAACCACGCATATATACTCATTATCCATCTTATTCATGAGAAAACGTCGTTCCATATCACCATTGATACAAAGTTCAGTTCTAAAAGCACGTATGCATATTGACAGGCCTACGTCAACCCAAACTCATTCAGAATAAGAATGAATGTATAGATGATGAGGTTTAGGGTTAGGGTTTATTCTATCTCTTAACTTTATTAAAGCTATCTGCAATTTGTGCAATACTAGCCAGTCTGTTGGCTCGTACTTTGTACGTTCCATTTTAACATTGATAAAACTTGGCCACCTGTCAATACGACATATGCAGAAGCTGTCCTTACCACGTATCTCTGGTCATAATGGTTCAATTTATCGGTAAGCATATGCGCGCGCACAAACACGCACATTTATTGTGTGTGTGTGTGTGTGTGTGTGTGTGTGTGTGTGTGTGTGTGTGTGTGTCTATACAACGTGAACGCAAGTTTTAAAACCATTAAAATGCAAAGTAATCAACCTAATTTTTTAAATAAATGTGTATGAAATGAAATTTCTGAAATTACAACAAATTTTCAATTGTTCCTCCATTTTGTTGTATAACCAAGGTTGTACGTTTGATCAAATTATTGACAATCGATCCATAACTTTATTGACAATCGATCCATAACTTTAGGTATGCGTTAAACTTCTAAGGAATATCTTCCACTTGAAGGAATATCATGCAGTATTTGTTCGATTTCAAAATTTCCTATCAGGCGAGTAATTTTGATAGAGCAAGAAAATTCCATTTTAAATCATTCCTTGCCTTATAAGCTCACATCATTGCTGCTTCACTCTCATTCATTATCATAATGTAGCTTCATAAGCTGCAGTCAACAGTCTAAATTAGGCTTATATACTTTTAATATGCTACAAATAAATAACGTGTCATTACATGATTGGTCAATTTTCAAAACATTAAAACTATAAAAATATATAGGTATCTATACTCGTCTCAAAAAACCTTCGAATTTTTGAGTTGCCAATAATCAAATCAATCTCGAAGGAAAAAAAGAAAGAGCTAGAAACATGAAAGTCTATCGAAAAAATCACACAGATACAGGTTCAAAGCCCAAAGAAAAAAAACCGAAACGAGTAAACAACTAACTAAAAAGAGCTCAATACAACCGTAGAGCAGATCTAATCAAACCTAGTGAGCCAGCCTGACGATCCGCTTAGGTGAAACCTGTAGGTTTGTCTGGCTCACTAGGTTTGACTATATATATATATATATATATATATATATATATATATATATATATATATATATTGTGTGTGTGTGTGTGTGTGTGTGTGTGTGTGAAATATGAAATATAAAAGTCGAGTTCGATTTCATCGTTGATTAATTTATGCAAAAATAAAAGGATACCTCTGAACCTATGTCGGAGTTTGTCACCGTTTACTAGTTAACTAGTAGGGCAGACTTGACAATTTGGACATGCTTGATTCACAGTCGACGAGAAGGACGAATTCTGAATAGAAAACCCATTTAGGATCTCTTGGACACTTTTAATATATTTTTTTTATTAAACTGTATTCGAAAAAGGGTTTGGTTTAGTACAAGCCTTCACAATATATTCGCATCATATGTTTGGGAATTTTGCCTTTTATGGCTAGAGGAATTTGATTTGTAATACATCGAGAATAACCACTATTAGATAGATAGATAGATAGATAGATAGATAGATAGATAGATTAAATAGATGATGTGTTATAATATATACGAGCGTTTAACAGAAATTTCAACTCTTGTTTTATACGAATAAATGAATATTTACTGCATTTCAGTTTGTTTGAAATATATATATATATATATATATATATATATATAAATGTGTGTTTGAAGTGTGTGTGTGTGTGTGTGTGTGTGTATTTGTGTGTGTTCGTGCGTGTGTTTGAAAATATTATTATTCTTAAAACAGGGAGCATTTTATTAATAAAAAATAAACGTGTCATTTGCATATCTCATCTATAACTTTTGGCTTTAGTGATTTGGATTATAAAATATATTTAAATTATTCGAATTATTCTATATGTATGTTTGCCATTGCTATTGATAATGCCGAGCCCCTTGCTAAGTCATCATGTTGTCGATATATGTCTGATCCAATTTCGAAGTGTGTTGTTTATAAACAAAAATAAATATACATATCCATCCGGTTATATATTGGTAAACTGCCCCAACAAAAATATTCATTGGTCCGTTCTCGTTACGTGAGTCTGAAAGGTCAGTCTGTTTTTTTGAAATATTTTGATAAATGGGTTCAAAAGCATTGTACCTTTGTGAACAAACTCACTACGCTCAGGCTCCCAATCAGTTTGGATTGGATGGGATCATCTTTGATTATTTCCATTTTGGGCGGAGAGAAGACATATGAAGGTGACTTAAACTATTAATGGGTCAATTATATCGAAAAAGAAGTGACTATATATATTGGCATTATAATTGAAAAGTAGCTGATATACGTAGATGATACCTTCATACTCTGGCCACACCAGGAAGATGTCCAGCTGCTACTGGACTATATGAACTCAATAAAATTTTTGTATGTTTGCAATGAAGAGAGAAAACGACAACAAACTCATTTTCCTGGATGAAACTTGCATATCTCCAACAGAACATCAAATCATCTTTTTTGTATTTTTAATAACAATCTGTTACCGGAAAATTTCCACCAAACATACAATGCAAAGAAAGGATCGAACGTTGCTTAGAACATCATTAAAAGTCATAAGTTCCGATTTATCAGGCATATTTAAAAGAAAAAATTATAAAAATTTTTACATATAAGAACTACCCTAAAATATATATATTTTAAAAATCGACAAACTGGGATTAAGAGTATAGAAGGAAATTAAAAATTTTTATCTAATTTCAAAAAAATTATAATTTAATTTCCGAATAATATAAATGAAATATAACATTATAGTGATTAATTAAAATATTCTATTTTTAATTCGACCATAAGAATTTTATCACCCCCTAAACATTTATCTTTCGAAAAGAGGTAAGACAAACAGGATGAAATTATCTTGAAAATTATTTAATTACTGTAAATGAAGAGGTACATTGTAATGCCAAAACAAAAAATTATTGTATAGCGATTTCAACATGTTTTTGTTATACTATCTTCTTATCTTCTTCTTTTTCTTCTAATAATAATAAAAAATAATAATAATATATAATAATATATTGATCTACTTTGAAAATGAGCAACAAACAGCGGAATTTTTATAAATAATAAACCGGAATTTTTTTATTATATATATATTCATATATATATATATATATATATATATATATATATATATATATATATATATATTTTCGTGTGTATCAATTCACATATAAATAAAATATAAATAAAGGCATAAAAGAAATCTTTTCTTTAAATAACACGTTAATTCAGTCCCTTATAGGGCGAAATGTTTGGCAAAAGAAAAATTTTTCTTTAAAATGTATATATATATATATATATATATATATATATTTATATATATATGTGTGTGTGTGTGTATGTGTAAATATGTATGTGAACATGTGTGTGTTAAAACTTTTTGAGTTCCACACCAACCTCGTAATTTTTTTAAATGGGGAACATTTTATTAATCAAATGAGATCCAAAGTATCATAGAAAAACTTAAAAAATTATTTATTAAAGGTACGCCTTGCTAAAATAAATATCCTGACAGAACATATATATATATATATATATATATATATATATATATATATATATATATTTATGCATGTCCTAATACAAAAGTACAAAGCCGAATAATGAAAAGGTATTTAAGAAAAAATATTTTTCACCGTATCTCCTTCCTTGGCAATGCTCTTAATCCATTGCGTCGTCATAAATTACACATACTGAAAAACGTACATGGGCGTTTTCAGAGCAAAATTAATTTTAAAATTCAACGATGTTGTAGGCATATTGATTGAGCCTCTTATTCATTTACCCACAATGGGGACATATGATATGGGGTCACTTTTAATGTAAGGCCAAATTTGTGGATGTTTCCAAAAACGGCAGTTTTCCCAAGCCTTTGCTTCAGACGTGAAGGTACACCGATGACTCAACAACTCATCAAATAGGAGGGTCCTCAGAAAGTAGCCTTTTGTTCATTATTAAGGGTCTTCAGCCATGTGATCAAAGAATTTTTTTTTTTTTTAAGAAATTATAGTTCGTCCGTTTTTTACGCTGTTAATTTTAACTTTTCTTTGTGACGTCAGGGGAAAATAGCGTTTTTCTGTCTCCGAGATAAGATGTATAAGTGTGTTTCAAAGATTTTTTTTTGTCTGTATTTGATGGCAGGCAAACAAAATAAAACGGTCCCACCAGCCGTAAATAAAAAATAAACATACAAAATTTCTTTATATTGAGGAAACGCGTGCATTATCAACTTAGTGAACGTGGAGGAAGCGCGCCATGGAGTTTGTCATTTCACCAATTGCGAAATCCTACCGAAGTGCTTTTAATGGCTGCTACACTAAAAGTTCTGCTTAGAACTTTGAAAACGAGCCCTAATTTGAAACCTTTCAGTAATCCTTTAAAAAACCAATAAGTCAGGCATGAGTAGCTTCTAGAGTCAATCAGAGAAATCGAGAAGAAATGTAAAGAGGCAATACAGTTGGAACTCACTTCTTAAGTATATATATATATATATATAAATATATATATATATATATATATATTGGTATTTTAAGGAGACTTGCTTAAGAAGGGATGTCTCTATGGAAAGGAGGATGA